AAAAACAAAACAAAAAAAACTTTATAATGTAAATGTTTTAAAATTCTTACAGCTTTTGTTATACCTTTCAGTTAGAAGTTTATAAACTTTTTTATTGTTTTAATACAACGTTTTAAACTTTTGTTTAATGAAAATATTTTAAAATGTTATAAAAAATATTAAATTGTTATACACAATATATTAAAAGTTTTAAATATGTTGTAAAAGCAAGTTTAAAAAGAGTTTAATAAAAGTTATAAAAAATTATATGAAAATATAAACAAAAAAATAGTTAAAAGCTTGTAAATAAAATTTAAAACATTTAGAAAATACTTGGTTTAAAAACAGTTATATAAAAACTATATGAAAATATAAAAAAAGTTTAAAAATTATAACCAAAGTTTAAAACAGTATATTAGGAAAACTTATAAGAAAAAAATATCTTTAAAGTGTTGTAATAAATTATAAAAAATCTTAAAAATTTTATAAAAAAAAAAAATCACAATTAGTTAATTTTTTTTATACATCTTTAATCATTTAACTTATTAAATATGTTCACACCTTATAGCAATTAACAATTATAATATGTGAACACATTTAACAAGTTAAATAATCAAATTTTTATAATAAAACGAAATTATCCTGACAATTCATTTTTCATTCATTATTTTTATGTTCATTTATTACCTTAATAAACGAAAATAAACAAAGTAATTTCTTAAGCAAACGAACATGAACAAGAAAATTTGTTTCTTTATTTGTTAATGTTCATTAATTTGTTCGGTTAACTTAAATAAACAAACATAAATAAGTTTCGTTCATATTCTTCGATTCGTTTACAACCATAATTTTGTTTTCTTACAATTTGGAGGTTAATTATTGATATCGAAAACTTATACAATATAAACTTGTTCCTCAAGTCTGGATCTAGATAGTACATCTAAAGCATAGAAGCTTTTGGTAGGTTTATGTCTTGATTTCTAGAGACAATAATAGAAATAAGATCGTTAGAATCATTCCAATATATTTGTCCTGAGAATTACCTATGACGATCAAATTTGATTGATAAAGATGTGGCATGTGGAGATGGTCTTTTTGGGATCGGAACCATCTATATGTGGATAGAATAATGTGTGTATGTGTTCAACAACATGAGTAGACTGCAATAGTTGGTCAAAATAATTTTTTTGAATAATAAAGATGAGTTTAATGATAAATCTTGTACATAGGAAAATAGATTTTTTTGACATATATAAGTTGGTTTATTTTTTAAGTTTGTTGTAGTTTAGTATTTAGTAAAACAATAAACTAAAAAGTTCATAAAATAATTTATAATCTAATTTTAGTGAGTTACATTAAAATATTTTATTGATAATCTAATTTTTAAGAAAAAGATATTTTCTTACAAACAACACAACCTAAATATATTTAAAAGTCATTGTTTATTATCCTACAAAATCATTGTCTCTATTTTATTATAAATGCAAAGAGCTGATCTTCTTCTTCTTCTTCTTCTTTTTTTTTTTTTTTTTTTTTTTTGGTAATTAGCCTTTACATAAATCAATATAATTAGCCTTTACACAAATCAATATAATACTAAAAGGGCCTTATCTATCCTAAAATCTGTAATAATTGAAAGCGTTTCTTATTTAAATATTTTAATGTTGTAAATATTAATTTTCTAATGGGGCACACAAAATGCCATTATTTTTACAAGTTAGTGGTCATGAAGACAAATGATTAAAATTTGTCCTTACCACAAATACCAACAAACCTCACAAAAGTTACATCGCTTTTCCCTATTATTGTCTTCTTTTAGACAAAATAAAAGACTCCCGTTTTGGTAACATTTCAATAAAAAAACAAATCTTAGCTTGACAAAAAATGAAAATGTGAGTCTATGATTTATTTTAACGAAAACTCCATAGCAACACTTGAATTATTGAAATTATGATTTATTTATTGTTATAATTTTGAAGAATTTATCAGATGATATTAAATAATAGTATATATTAACTTACCATTTATGAGCTAGCTTATGTATAATTGTTAGGAATAAAAAGAAAATAAAATCTCCAAAAGACACACTGATTTGTGGATATGATCTACATCCACTTGACAGAAGAAGTATTCTTATCGAGAAAATGATTTAATATACTTGAACCATATTTAATAAAAGAGTGCCTAAAACTCATTTAGTAAACGAGTCTGATTTAAATCGTGCAAGTGAGGGTTTGTTTAAGTTTGCGAGCCTAAGGAGGGCTTTGCTATACTATATTTTTATTTTATGTATTATTATTTATTATTTATATATTAATAAAATATGAAAAAAGAAAACAACGAGCCAATTCCAATCTTTAATGAGCGTCACGAAAAAACGAGCATTAACGAGCCAATCTTGAGCTTTATATGCTTCACGAGCTGAGCTTGAGCTTGAAGCTCCAAACTCTTAACAGGCTCGATCATGAGTTTTATACCTTTAAATGAACCTGACTCAATTAGTGTGATGCTCCGCTTTGCTTGGCATGTTTATATTCGTAAGAGTATAACTTTTATTTTTAGATTCAAAATTTATCTTAAACTATAATATCTTTCGAATAAATATATTACATATTTGAGAGAAAATTAAAACAATATTATAATGTTCAGGTTTGGTAAAAGAATTGTAAATTTTCTTTAACAAAAACTGAATATAATATAATGTGAAACTATGATTATGTTATTATTAGTAATCATGTAAAGTTACGGTTATGTTATTAATATGGAAATCTTTTTATTACAAATAATGAGTGTAAAGTTTGTGTTAATAAATTATTGAAAGTATTTGAACAAGAGTTTGCATTTACCCCACAAAACACATGATCTTTATACGTTGCTTATTTTGTTTGATCATTTACAGTCTAGTTTTAGACTTTAAATTACAATATGAGATTATCAATTTTTTGAAAAACCCTTAAAAAAATATTATTACTAGGTTATGTTAGATAAATGTCTTTTATCTATAAACTAGCTATACAAGGCACAAGCCATCTAGCTGAAAATCTATAATGTCCTTTATCGGTTTTATAAAGGGATAATGACTTGAAAGGGTAACGAACTTTCGATTTTTGTCACATTTAGTCACTAAACTTTTTTCCGTTATCTATTTGCCATTGAACTATTGAAACTGTTCACATTTTACCCTTATGACCGGCTGTTGCCGGTCATAAGGGTAAAATGTGAACAGTTTCAATAGTTCAATGGCAAATAGATAACGAAAAAAAGTTTAGTGATTAAATGTGACAAAAGTCAAAAGTTTGTTTCCCTCTAAAAAGTTCAATGACTAAATGTGAACAAACTTCCTCTTGTATTATGTTTTAGCAAATTATTTATTTTTGTTAAATTGTAACAACATTTGTTGATGAAGAAATCTATGAAATAAAAAAGAAAACAAAACCCTAAAAATATATTTTAAAAAAAAACAAAAAACCGAAACCGAAATACAAAACCAATGGTTTGACATTTTCCAAAATAAAAAATCAAAATTTCCAATTTGATTTTGGTTTTACAAAAAAATGAACCATTCTCACTGATGTGAATTATGACCATTGGTTTGGCATGCGAAATTTGTGACATCCCATGAATATATAGTTACAACATCGTCTGAACTCGTAATTCATAGTAAGGGGTTAGAGTATCATCGCATGAATACGTAGTTACAACATCGCCTGAACTCGTAATTCATCACCTACAGGTCATGGGCATGCTGGTGTTTCCACTGTGTTGTCTAGAATAGTCCGTGGTCGCCATTTATACTCTAGTAGATGACTACATCGCCACATTGCTGGTTAGGGCTATGGTATCTCCTTTCATCCTACATCACATATTCATCATCATCTATATACCTAATTATCATCACATTTCTATCATCACATATTTCTCATCATTTTATTTCATCACACACCAACTATTTCATCTACCCATGTTTCATCTGCAACATATTTGTAGATATAAAATAAATATACCGTTTAAATCTTTTAAAACATGTATAAAATCGTTCATCCAGCATAGACAGCAAGTATTCAAATAATATGCACACATAGCATGTAACTTATATAAAATACTTCATATCTATGTGTAAGATGAAAGTAGCTATATCTACCATAAAAGTCCCATAAATGCTTCCTAACTTCGAACGCCAAGGTTTACTCTACTAAAGCTTCATATTCTCGGCTCTCTGAACCTAGAATGGTCCAGATCTATCTCACCAAAAAGCTCAAGATAGCTCTTCCTCTCACTCTACACACTCAAGCTCGCTAGGGTTCTCACTTATGGGAAAGGTAGTGGTAATTGAAGGCCAAATATGGCTCGGGCCCAAAGATTTAGGGTTTCTACCAACAGCGCAGACTTGTCGAGTCGCCTCACCGACTTGTTGAGTCCATTCATTAATCCGAGTCATCAGTCGCGACCTTACTCGACGAGTTAAGGCGTCAACTCGCCGAGTCTCTCTTCTTAACTCAAAAGAAAAATACTTAAATTATGATACCTGGAAATCCGGATGTTGCATTTTGTTTTTTTATTTCATAGATTTCTTCATCAACAAATGTTGCTACAATTAAACAAAAATAAATAATTTTGCTAAAACATAATACAATAGTAAGTTTGTTCACATTTAATCATTGAACTTTTTGAGGGAAACAAACATTCGATTTTGTTCACATTTAGTCACTAAACTTTTTTTCGTTATCTATTTGCCACTAAACTATTGAAACTGTTCACATTTTACCTTTATGACCGGTAACAGCCGGTCATAAGGGTAAAATGTGAACAGTTTCAATAGTTTAATGACAAATAGATAACAAAAAAAAGTTTAGTGACTAAATGTGATAAAAAATCGAAAGTTCGTTACCTTTTCAAATCATTATCCCTTTTATAAATGATATTCAACCTTTTTTTTAAAGTTTTAAAAAAACTGATTATCCAAAAAAGAATAATCATAAAAGGTGTCATTTTCCCTTGTTTGGAGGCTCAAAAGCCAAACACAAAGCTTCTACCAAAAAACAAACAGAAAAAGACAGAGTACTTTATGCATTATAACTTGTACACTTTCGAAGCACCAGCTCAGTTTGTAATCATAGCACCGCAAAGTAACGTTTTTTCTTTTTCGAGCTTGTCTTTTTGCGTCTTACAACAATATAAATCCACTCCCCTTTCCATCGTCTTCTCCAATCCCATTCTCTCTCTGAAACCACCAACTTCGAGATGCTTTCAAGAGTTAATAGTGTTGTTTGGATGGATGATGAGAGAGGGAATCAAACAAACCAAAAAAATGAAGAGAATCATGAAATCAATTCTATTTCTACATTTAAATCAATGCTAGAAGCTGAAGAAGAAAATAACAACAATTGGTTCTTGCAGCAGCAGAGTAATCTTCTGTTGCAACCAGTTGATTCTTCATCGTCATGTTCACCGACTTCTGCTTTTCAAAACCTCGACCCAAATCAGGTTCATTTCTTTTTACCTCCAAGACCCTCAATTTCTTCGATTTTGAACCCAATTTCAAACAACCCGTTAGATGAAACCTTTGATCTTGGTTGTGGGAATGGAATTCTACCTGGGTTTTGTGATTTAGGGGGACAAACCCAAATGGGTGTTTCGAGTTTGAACTCAGATCCTCAATTTTCGACTACTCACTTGCTTCAATTGGCCGGAAATGGATTCGGGACGCCGGTGTTTCCATCTTTGGAAGATGGGTTAACAGGAACTTCGTTGGGTTTGAACCGGTCGAAATTGCTTAAACCTTTGGATAGTTTTGCTTCGGCCGGAGCTCCACCGACTTTATTTCAAAAAAGAGCTGCCCTGAGAAGAAATTTGAGTGATATCAACACCACTATCGACGGCGATGGTGGAGGAGCTGGACTGGGAAGAAGTTTAAGTGACGTCAACACCGCCGGCGGTGGTGGTAGTGATGGGATGAATGAGAAGAAGAGGAAGAGCAGCAATGGCAGTTGGGATGATGTGGATAACCTGAGTTTGGATGGCTCCGGTTTGAATTACGATTCCGATGATATCACGATGAACACCACCACAAATTTTGAAGAAAATGGGATCAAAATTAACGGTGGGAATAGCTCTAATCCAAACAGTACTGTCACTGGCGGCATCGGGAGCAATCAAAAGGGGAAGAAGAAAGGGTTGCCGGCGAAGAATTTAATGGCGGAAAGACGTCGGAGAAAGAAGCTAAACGACCGGCTTTACATGCTCAGATCTGTAGTCCCCAAAATCAGCAAGGTGAGAATCAAGAATTCCCTCTTTGTTTCACATATCTTTCTCGTGCATGTTCAGAATTATTATCCGACATTTTTTAAAACTTTAAAGATGGAATCTTGATGAAACCCCATGAAAGAAAAACCTCTAATTAAGAAGATTTTTTCAAATTATTCATGAAACGCCATTAATGTTCTTGTTTCAGATGGACAGAGCTTCAATTCTTGGAGATGCGATAGAGTACCTGAAAGAGCTTCTTCAGAAGATCAACGACCTTAACTATGAACTCGAATCAACCCCATCAACCTCATCATTGACACCCACCACCACCATAACCACCCCCGGCAGCGGCACCCCCACCGGTTTCTACCCTCTAACCCCAACTCCGACCAGTCTCCCTTCAAGAATCAAGGAAGAACTTTGCCCCACCGCGATCCCTAGCCCAACTGGCCAACCTGCAAGAGTACTAATCCCAGTTTCCCTTTACTTTTACAAAATTATGATGAATCACTTGTTAAAATGTTGATTTTTTGCGGTGGTTTTAGGTTGAAGTGAGACAGAGAGAAGGAAGAGCAGTGAATATCCATATGTTTTGCAGTAGGAGGCCTGGTTTGCTTCTATCAACCATGAGAGCTCTTGATAATCTTGGTTTAGACATTCAACAAGCTGTCATAAGTTGCTTCAATGGCTTCGCTCTTGATGTTTTTCGAGCTGAGGTATATTTCATTTTATCTTTCATTTCTTTTACTTGATCCGTTTTTGTTGTTTTATGGTGTGTTTCCTGAATTTAGCAATGCAAAGAAGGTCAAGATGTTCATCCTGATCAAGTGAAAGCAGTGCTGCTGGAGTCCGCTGGTTACCATGGCGTCGCTTGAGTGGTTTAGAGATTTGAGATTTGGGTTGTTTGGTTTTAGTTTAAAAAGTTGTAGCTTTTCATATGAAGGTTGTTTTTGTTCAGTCCTTAGATCTAGTCAGATAGATAGGCGTGCTGAAGTTAGCTAAATTTGCAAAATGTTGCTAGGCATTTTATGTTATTTTGTTTGATCATTGTGTTTCTTGGAGTTTTTTTATTTTATATTTCATATCTGATTGATGTTTGTGTGTGGACTGGAGTGTTAGGTTTCCAACAACAATAAAGACACAATTAAAGATGCAAATAAAACAAAGATTTACATTGTTTTATACCATTAAGCTAATTCTGTTACGTTCATTTACGAACTAATTGAAATATAATTTACAATTACATCAAGTGTTTTTACATTGAGCTAGGTATTTAATTTTGACCATAAATATACCAAAATATTAGATTTCAGCCACAAAAATGCACATAGGTTGGGTCCCTAGAATTTTTTCTTCCAACGTTTGGTTGCAGTAGCAGCGATCAGGAACTGGTTTTCTAGCCAAAAACCAAATTAAAACCGTAGATTTATCTTTATATATAGTTATATATACAATGTACCTTAGTAATCTGGCTGCGGAAAAATCAAAGATTATTAAGACCCCATAAGATTTGTGGTTTCTTTCCTCAGGTAAATTGTTAGAACTTCATTTTGTTCAAATCCTAATAAGTCTTCACAATTTTAATGTTTAATATTCATAGAAATAAGTGTCCAAAATATTTTTATCAATGTAAAAAAAAGTTGGCTTATTGTCCCGCCAAAAACAAATATGTGTGTATGTTCCAAATAGACAACTTCATGTAAAAAAATAACTAATTTTAAGTACCTATTGCTTCTATAAACATCTTCGTTGTTACAGAAGAGGTTGATCGATTATAACACTTATACTCTGTCAAATTATTGTCTCAAATAACATGAACAAGGCAAAGTTATGTGTTTTTGCAATCTCTAATTAGCATAATTTCTCGGATTACCACAAGTCTTAATTCACGTAACCCCATACAATAGGTGCGGATTACATATTACAAAAAGCAGGGGCGAAATCAAATTTTTAATATGGTTGGGGGCTTACATTGTAATAAGTAAGGTGTAACTTAAATCACAATTGAGGTTCTTCGTTTCTCTTGTATGTTCTTTTTTGAATTTACTATAAATAAAACAATTCTTTGTCTTTCTTTTCCATACGTTAAGCTAACTTGATAATTATATAAATTAAAATTTTAAACTAAAAGGTAAACTTTGATAGTATTGTATAAATTGAAAGGGGTCAAAGGAACAAATATTGATTTATTGCATCCAAATGTAGGGCGTATATAATTATCAAGTTAGCTTAACATATGGAAAAGACAAAGAATTTTAATTTATAAACTAAAAGGTAAACTTTGATAGTATTTGTTCCTTTGACCCTACATTTGGATGCAATAAATCAATAATTATATAAAAGGTATTTAATATAAAGAGATGAGAAACTACAGCTACCATTTATATAAAAGGTATCTTCTTCTTTTTTGTACATAGTAAAGCAACTAACTTGTTTTAACTGTTTAAATTACACAAATATTACCGGTTAATATATGTTTTAACCGGTAACTCAAAGGGAAAATGACTTAGGAGGGTAACTACCTCTTATCCGTGTTCACATATTGACAACTTCTTATTTTTTGTACATAAGAAAGCAACTAACTTGTTTTAACATTGTAACATCCCAAAAATCATGAACAAAAGTTTCGTTTTTAATTTAATACTAAAACCATAATTGTCAAACCATTAAATTAATACTTCGGCATCGGGCCCCGCCCGACATCAGGCCCCGTGTGGCATCAAGCCCCACTCGGTATACAGATCTGTCTCTCTTAGGCCCCGCCCACTAAACACAAGCAATCATATAACATGCTAACACATAAAGAAACATACTCTACCGTATCCCTGTCCTAAGAAACATACTCTGCTAATAATGAGATACGGAACTTCGTCCTTACTCAACTAGTTCCAGCCATGGCTTCAGCAGTGCAAGGTGAGTCTCCTCACTGTGTGAATTGGTCTAAGGCCATAATGTTAGCTCATGTAGTCTATGAGTAGGAAGACCCGGGGGTTAGCCCTAGGCATTGTATGCTAGTATGTTATTCTAGACCAAGGTCCGATGTCGGGCGGGTGCCCGAGGAATGTTTGCATGTTAGATTATACTTGTTGTCTGTGTGATACTTGTATGTGCCTGGTAAGGACGTGAGTGTGGGCGAGGTCCCATATCTCATCACTAGCTGAGTATGGACGATGTTCTGTATCTCATTATTAGCAGAGTATGTTTCTTAGGACAGGGATATAGTAGAGTATGTTTCTTTATGTGTTAGCATGTTATATGATTGTATGTGTTTAGCGGGCGAGGCCTAAGAGAGACAAACCTGTATACCGAGCGAGGCTCGATGCCAGGCAGGGCCTCATGTCGGGCGGGGCCCGATGTCGGAGTATTTAATTAATGGTTTGACAATTATGGTTTTAGTATTAAATTAAAAACGAAATTTTTGGTCATGATTTTTGGGGTGTTATATTGTTAAAACAAATTAGTTGCTTTCTTATGTACAAAAAATAAGAAGTTGCCAACATGTGAACACGGATAAGAGGTAGTTACCCTCCTAAGTCATTTTCCCTTTGAATTACCTGTTAAAACATGTATTAGCCGGTAATATTGGTGTAATTTAAACTGTTAAACCAAGTTAATTGCTTTATTAAATACAAAAAAGAAGAAGTTGTCAATATGTGAACACGGATAAAAAGTAGTTACCCTCCTAAGTCATTTTCCCTTAATAGAAAGAGATGAGAAAGTTGTGTGGAGTTTGTTAATTAGAAGACTCAATTTATAGAGCTTGTGCTTGTAATATATTCTAACTTTGCGAGATCTTTTATGAGGTCCAAGTATAATAGTTGAGAAGATACAATTTAACTATATTTGGTTGCGGGACCGGCCTACACAAATGAAACAGTGTCTCCATAACCAGGTATTATTTTGTCTTTGGTATCTAGGGGTGAGCAAGCCGGTTTTTTTTTCCAAACCGAACCGATTTTCTATTCGTAAATAGTAAAACCAGTTCGGTTCAAACCGGTTCCTTCATTATTAAACTCGAACCTATCTAAAACGGTTACACCGGTTTGATCGGTTTTACTACAGGTTCTAAACCGGTTCACGGGTATTAAACCGGTTTCAATATCTAAAATCTCGAACGGGTTCAAACTGGGGGTTTGGTTCTTGAATCGGTTCGGTTCATAGTGGACCGGTTTATGGTGAACCGGTTTACCGGTTCAGTGACCGGTCGGATCCTGAACCGGTTTTTTTTTGTGAGCCTATTGGTAACTTTACCGGAGGCTATAGTCATGGTAGTCCTTTTATTCAACTATCTCAACCATTTTCGAGCACCTCATAGTATTTTTGGGACGTCAAAACAGTTGACCATTTCTGTATGATTTTGTTTCTGTGTATTACCCCTTCCATTGGTTTCAAAGATAAAAATCCTTAATCGGACAATAAATTGACCACCCTTGTAAATCGGTGAATTCAATTTGATTATTCCTTCTAATTATTAATCATTTCAATCAAAAATTGTTTTAGTATGACTCATCAAACAGATAGATTGAATATAAAGAATTAGAAATTCGCTAATTACCTTTTGTTGGAACTTATTGACAAACCTTGTACATCACTAAACTAGCAGCGGTGGGTTTTTAAGGCCTGATATTTAAATAAAGAAATGATTTTGCGATACTCGCCATTTGGATCCTAAATACTAAAACATGGTCATTTTAGTTTCATCTAAGTATCTAACCATACTTCTAATTCTATACCCCACTAAAACAAATAAGATCGTCTTAGTAAATAGTTGATTCGGTCAAATATTTAGAGCGCCGTAGGCCCAATAGCTATTTTCTTTAGTCGACTCCAGGTCAAACTCCATAATAATAGTCAAAACTCAACAATTGGGTTAAAACAGTTCACAGGTCCTTGAAAAGATATTTTTCAAGTTTCCACAATCGCCTTTTCCCTTTTCCCTTTTTTTCCTTTTCAACAACCTATACTGCTTTCCCAACAGGAATGTTCCTAACCTGGTCACACGCAACGCAACAACCGTTGATTTATTTTTATCATATGTCCAATATTCCCAGACCAATACGTCGTTGTACTTGCAGTTGTTTGTGAAAGGAATCTCCAAAGCCGTGTTCTACTCTAGAAGGGGTTCCAATAATCACAATTCACAATACATAACATATGTTTTATTGTTAAGTAGGGTCCCACCCCACCAATTATGTATATAATTGTAAGACCTTAATCCCATAAAACTATGGCAGTAGACGAAGGTGGTTCCGTAACTAAACCACATAAACACTCATGTTCACATGCTTTACATTTTTGTTGATATTTTATACCACTTATCAAAAGTTTCAATTTACAAACACTTTCAAAAATTATTTTACAACATTTTTTAACTAAATATATATCTAGTTAGAACAACAATTACGAAGGCTACAAAGTTCCAACATTTTTGTTCTTGGATACAAGATAAGCATACAAAGTCGAAACACAACTTGATGGAAAATTTATGGCTAAATAACACGCGTGAAATAAGATTTGAGAATGTAGGCTATAGCTATAAGCCAAATCGAGTCTTTCATTGACATATACTTGTTACATGCATGCAAGTGGGAAAACAGACTCTGTACAGGGTAAAACGACTTGAGACCGAAAAGCATTACACCATGTTCTGTTCTCAAACATCGTTATATTATATTATATATATATGTTTACGTGTATCATATATTATATATAGAGGAGCTAACATAGCAATATATATATATATATTATAGCTCCAGTTGTCCAAAATTGAAAATATTATATTACCAAGACTCAACGTCATCATTCGGGAAGTTGGAAGGAGTAGAATCTTGATGCAACTCGAATATTTATTTCAGTTGTTCCCAATACCACTACTCCCTAATTCACCTACAACATCGACCTGTAAAATCCATAACCATGTGTATCAATCAATATCAACGCCATTTTTATAATAATAAAAAAATAGTATGCAAAACATTACCTAATTTATATAATATATGAATTAGAGCACTTATGCGTTTTCGATTTTCCTTGTGTCTTTTTCGTCCATGCCTTCTGCTACCGATGAATTGTCTTCGTCTCTTGAATTTAAAGTCCCCGGATTCATTCTCTGAACCTCTTCTCTGGTGTAGATGAAGATCTTCCTAACCATCCCACAGAATTCCCTGACATTGATAAAAATAATAATAATAAGAACATCAACATAACAAAAAGCCAATCAGTTAGTAATTCACAGTTACTTACTGCCATGGATCATCTCCAACAAGCATCATGTCACCTTCATCATCTGTATACACAACCAGCCAGTTCTTGTTGCGTGTCTTTAGTTCACCATTGAATTCAAATATAACGTCCAGCTCAGCAATCAGTTCATCGTAGTCGTTAAATTTAGTAAGATCCACTGATCTCCCAAGAGCAATCCCTTGTTTGTGAACCTGACAAATTATTCTCAAGTCGGTCAAAACACTGACAAGATTTTATCAGAGGGTGAGATGGTAATTTCACACAAACATACAAATACCTTTGTACAACTCCTTGTAGAAACAGAAACACCTTGGAGTTTCGCTTGCTGGAAATGTTGGTATTCTTTATCTTGCTCTTTAGATGGATTACTATCGTTGACTTTCAAACGCTTGGATTGATCAGAATCAAATATGTGGTACTGATGTGTTGCTGCTGCATCTGCTGATATGTTTCTGTTACCAGCAAGTGGCACCCCAAATATTTTACAGTTTCCATCTTTTGGTTTCTGTTGAACAGATAACTTTGGAATCACATTCACATCACTGGAATGAGAAGGCATCTGGAGATACGAAGTAAGAGATGGCGGAGGCATCACCCACTTACCAGCCTGCTCTCCGTTTCCCCTTTGACTATGTTGACCGGAATACTCGTCAAAAGCACTAAACCTAACATCTCGGCTTTGATATGAAATTTCATTGCTTTTCATGCCACCACCCAACAAGCTGAGGGATAAACCGGATGGCATAATGGACCATGGATTTGAATGTAAGTTGAATTTTGATTCGTTAGGTGTAGGTGTAGGTGTAGTAGACAATTCGTTTGTAGACCCGAAACCTGATAACAGATCTGTGAAAGATGACTCTGGAGTTCTCCCAACTGATAAAATTCTATCTGACCCATGATGCCGTTTTTCATCATCTACTACAGAAGGTGTCCACTGGATTAACCTATCACATGAATCTGATTCGTTGCTATCCACAAAAGTGGGTCTCAAGGTCGATAATTCTTGACCTTGCAAGACCCTTGAGAATGCGTTTGCGGTTGCAGGTGAAGGGTCTGCTGTCACCATTTTTGATGGACCTTCTCGGGTGAGAACAGAGGAATCAGGGGATGAAGGCAACATGGTTGACCGAGGTCTCTTTTGTCTGTGGATTGGAAGTGGATTGATTGCAGGAGGAACAAGAGCAGGTTCTATTTTCCATGGTGAAACTCTTTCTGGACGTGGGATTGTACAGCTTTCATCCCATCTTACCTTCAAGTATCTCCATTTTGAATCTGGCCATCTTTGTTGCTCACGTTCTTCAATCCCAACAATAGTTCCAGTAAATCTACAACAAATTATTATGTTAAAAAGATAAAACCAAGACATGTAGTCAAGAAACTGTTGAGGAAAATCAATCTACCTTTGCTCTGGAGCCTCTTCGCCTTCGAACCTCATGTTAAATCTCATTCCGATAGAATAATTGTTCTTGACAGATTCCATGTATTGATCGAAGGGAACAATGAACTCTGATGGACTAGTCCTGTGAGATTTTAATTGTGAAACTGTTAATATCATAAAATGGGATGAATAAAAGATAGATAACGAAATCGTTAAAAGTACCTAGGTTTGTAATAAACTGTGAACATTGTTCCAGTTTGAATGGCATGCCAGGCTGTTGCAAGGACTCCAAGATGCATGCTGTGGCTGGATATGACAGATGAAGGTATGTTTGGTTGTTGTCTCATTGCACGTCTTACTCCTACACGAAGTTCACCATTCTCGCCTCTGTAAATTTTATTCACAAATATTAGTCGAGAAATCAAGTGTATGTATGAAAAGGATGAAAAACAACAAGTTTATGATTTTGACTTTGACCTTAGAAATATAAAAGCATCCCCAGCTACAAGCCTTTTTGAACTAACAAATACACTCCAACCACTTTGAAGCAGATGCCTTCGGGGTTGACCTGCCGTTTGATTTAACAAACAATTATCAAGAAACATGAAACGACACAATCTGCTGATTTTGGAGAAGATTTTTACCTCGGAATATGTGCCTGAAACGCCATTCACTTCCATGTAAATCCTTAGCCACCAATTCCTGTGTTGGGGGTTGCCTTGACATGTCCTGTCAAAAACAAAACAAAAGAAAAGAAAACACCGATCAGAAATATTACAGATGAAGTAACTGGAAACGATTGGTTTAAAGTAAGATCCTAACCAATGGAGGAAGGCATTCATCAGCATGACGTCTGAGAACTGAAAATCCACCATGAGTGCTAGTATCTGAAGCAGTCAGCGTCTTGCAAAAAGAATGCACACGAAACTGTGATTCTGGTGGTGGTGGTGGTTCCTTCTTGACGACATTTTCGTCTTGCTGTCGTCACATAAATTTAGTAAGAAGAATAGAGGTTGTTAAATAAAGGAGCTTCGTTACAAATCTTGAAAGACTCACATTAGGTTCAGGCATCAGAGTAATTTGCGCGAACACCTCATCCGTGTCTGGCTCTGCCTATACGCACATGCATCGATGAAAAAAAAATTAATTAAACCAACACACATCAGCTAAAGCGAAGAAAAAAACCCTCTAAAGAAACACAAAAATTAACGGAAAGTTCAACATCTTCAATAATTGTACCTTCAACTGGACGTTAACGACTCGGCAAAGTATCTTGGCCGGAAGGTTATACACCGGCATCTGTTGGTCCGCCACCTGATTTGTCGACGCCTCAACCTGATGGAAATAATCAAGGAAAACTCCTTAAAAGTCATCAAGAGAAACAGAATCATAGATATGAACCTTCTGAAAACCCTAATTTAGAAAGTGGTGTTTAACAAGACGGCTTCATAGATTAACACAATAGATATGAAATAACCAAACTAGATTTACAAAATGATTCAAAATTAAACCTGTTCGATGTGTCCTTGAGGGAAATAGAACACTAGTTCGTTCTCGCGAGGCACGGTGACAAGCGGACCCGCACATGCTCGCCATAGATCCTTATAAAGAGCTATGTCCGCATCAGCTACACAAGAAAACAGAGAAATACAATCAGCTACACAGAAATTAAACCCCAAAACACTTGACCGTAAATAAAACTCGCCGGAAAGTACCTTTACCGGGACCGGAGGCAGCCATACCATTTCTCGTGTCAGTAACTCCGTCATTTCTATCACTAAAACAAGACGAAGAAAACGTGTCTCTGTTGCCTTTGCTTGAAACCTCAGAAGATGTCATTTTACTTGATGAAAGAGCTTCTTCAACACATCTAAATTTCCTTTACAACACAAAACCTTGAATCTCCACCTTCACAAGCTATAAATCAACTCAAATCACAACCAAAACAAGAGAAATCTTCAATCTAGCATCAAATTGAGCGAATTAACTCCACAAAACACCTTATCCCCCAAGCTATAACACAATCAACAAACTTTTCTGTCGTTAAATCCCACACAAACACAGCTGGTGAATCTTTTGTCTTCTGAAGAATCAACTAGCAATCTTTTAATCAGAATATAAAATCTCTTTTTCTGATGAAAGAAGATTTTGATGAATTTAGAGAGAGAGAGAGAGAGAGAGAGAGAGAGAGAGGAGGCTTTTGAAGAGACAGAGGGGTCAAAACTGCTAGTGCAAATGTGCAATCATTTCATTCGCGGGTCCTAATTCTAACACCACTGTGTTTGGCGACCGGCTATCTCCGGTTGCTCGGGCTTTCTGCCCGGTTTCATGCACCCAATTGAACAATAAACAATTTTGTTTTCTGGTTAATAATTGATGAAATATATGTAAAAATAATATAAAATGGAATTTAAAAAACTTTTATTTAGAAAACTAATTTTATAAATAATCGTTTCACGATTTATGTTACAGGTTTGTTGTTATAGAAGTGACTTTGTTATTAAGAAAAAAGAAAAGAGAAAACAATTATTAGTAACGTGTTTTTTGTTTAATAGTATGTCTCTTATGTGATTATAATTCATTTAGTATCTTTTATAGATATCAACTTAATATCGTTATTCAAGAGAAAATATATCAAGTGTATTTTCAAAACAAGAAAAATGAGTATAAAATCTATAAAATCTATAGTACAGTGTGCAAGACTTTTGTAGGTATGCATCTCCTATATTGTAACTCATGACATATCAAATCCGAGTATGTGCCCATCCATCAAAAAATTTACAGTAATATATTTTTGTACAAGTACAATATTAATTTAAAGTGTCTCTCCCTATTTAGGTTATTGCGTATTTCTAGAATGTGCAATTTTTTATATTTCCTACAATATATTAATGATGATCTTTCGTTTGACCTACTATCTTATCATTTATATTGTTTAAACAACCTATATAAGAAAAAAAATATTATAACCGCTTGGTTAAAAAGACAAATATGACATGATTAATATTGGAAAAATAAGTTGTAACTTTGAAAGTAATTATCTCGCTTATTAGATTTTTATTTTTTTCACTTATAGTATTTTTAAATTAGATCTGAAGCCAAAAGCAATTAGACCAAAAGGTGTTGATTTCAATTTGTGTGATTATTTAATTATGTTGCTAAGTTGCTTCAAAAAGAGTGTTTTACATCATTAATATAAAAAATTGTATGATACAGCTATAACTTTAGTTAAAATGTTAAACTATTGGATTTATTACGAATTATGAAAGATTGAAATGTAAAATATGTAAACTAAAAGGGGGGCAGATGGATACATCCAAAAAACAACTCTCCCTTATAGTATGTATCAAAAGTTGAGGGGGGCTGAGTGTCGGTTAAAAAAATATTTAAACCGGCCAATAACAGTGACCCCCGCTTTCCCGACCGTAGTGCTGTGTACCCTTGGATGGACCGGGTGTGCAACTTGGACAAATATGTGCAATAAATTAATTGGTCAATGGGAAACGCCTTTCGATATACTTTTTTGTAGTGATATATATATATATATATATATATATATATATATATATATATATATATATATATATATATATATATATATATATATATATATATATATATTAATGGAACTTATTTTATACCGTTTAGATTATCTAGGAATCTGTGTAGTATTTATCTTTTATATGGATGATAATTATCTTTTCCTTGAAGTGAGTTAGGTTTGTTATCTTTGTTTGGGTCACGTATAAAAGGTCATTCCCCTGTAACTTTTATGAGATAGATAAAACAATTGATAAGCTCCTTGATTCATCTCTTCCACTGTCAATTTTATTATGGTATCAGAGCGTACGATCTAGAAGAAACCCTAAAATCCGTCATAGATCATGGCGGGAGACAAACCGACAGGTTCAGGAAAAGAAACCAGTGGGGAGACGATTGATGTCAACTCGCCATACTATATTCACCCGTCTGATTATCCCAAACAGATGCAAGTGAATGATGTCTTGAACGATCACAATTACAACGAATGGAAACAAGAGATGACCAATTTCTTGTTGGCGAAAAACAAGATGGGACTAATCGACGGAACCATCGAGAAACCAGGAGCTGAATCACCGATGTCTCTTGCATGGGTGAGGGCTGACGCTATGATAAAAGGGTGGCTGACGACTGCAATGGAGCGAGAAATAAGGACTAGTGTGAGGTATGCGAAGACCTCGTCGGAAATATGGAGAGATTTGGAGGAACGTTTCGAGAAGGAGGGAGCCCCACGAGCATACGAGCTTAAGCAGACCCAAACGCCATAAGACAAGGAGGTACGACTGTTTCTAATTACTATACCAAGTTGAGATCAAATTTGGGATGAGTTGCAACTCGTTCTCCCGACTCCTCGTTGTGCCTGTGAAGGATGTAAATGCAATATTGGAAAACTGTTGAACGACCTGAAAGAAAAGGAAAGGACATATGACTTTCTTATGGGTCTGGATGACGATTTTTAAGTGATTCGTACCCAGATCTTAGCGATGAAACCCACACCCCCGTTAAGCATTGTTTACCACCTTCTCGCTGAAGATGAGCAGCAACGAGCAATAACAACAGGGTCAAAGAGGCCGAATGCCGAAGCGACTGCATTTCAAGTTAATCACTCAAACCGCAAGGTTGCTCAACAAAATCAAGAGAGGCAGCAATATCAGTCATCACAGTCATCACGACAGCCTTCTGACAAAGGAACTTCAAAATATCAAAAATCAGAAAATGATAAAAAGCAGTATTGTACCTTTTTGTTCGAAAGAAGGACATAACAGAGATGGGTGTTTTAAGATAATCGGCTATCCCGACTGGTGGCCCGGAAAGAAAGACAAACCACGAACCAAGGCAGCATGTGTTGAGCTTGGGCCTAGCCCCATCGCAGGTTTGACTGACGAGCAATATCACTTGTTCGTGAACCATTTTAAGGAGGAAAACGTTGTGGACAGTAAAAACACTCAACCAATGGCACATATGGCAGGTAAAATTGATTCTAATTGCGAATGGGTTGTGGATTCAGGTGCTACTGAACACATCACCCATCGAATCGATTTTTTAGAAAATGTCACTAAAAACCCGAAAGAGACACCTGTTGTCATTCCTAATGGTGAAAAGGTGTCTGTTGAGGGAGAAGGTATTCATTTTTTGTCGGGTGGTATTAAAATAAATCGTGTTTTACACGTTCCAGATTTCAATTATAACCTTTTGTCGGTTGGGAGACTTACAAATAGCCTAAATTGTGCCGTTACTTTTTTTCCACGATTTTTTGTGATACAGGATCTGTCAACGAAGCACTTGATTGGTGCGGATAACTTTTCAGAAGGGTTGTACCGGATGGGGGAGGCAAAGAAGCATCAAGCTCTTATGGTCAACTTTGAAGTTTGGCACAAGAGACTTGGACATCCCTCAAATAAGAATATTTCTACTTTAGATTTTATTAAAGATGTCTCAAATAAGACTACGAATTGTGATGCCTGTTACAAAGCAAAACACACAAGACTACCTTTTCCACTTAGTACAATAAAGACGATTTCTTGTTTCGAATTAATTCATTGTGATTTGTGGGGAAAATATAGAACTCCTTCGTTGAATAAAGCTTTTTACTTTTTAACCATAGTGGATGATTTTAGTCGTTCAGTGTGGACTTTTCTTCTTAAACACAAAGATAAAGCTAGTACATGTCTAATAGACTTCTGCAGAATGATCAAAACCCAGTTTAATAAACAAATAAAACGCATACGTTGCGACAACGGGGGAGAATTTGTATCTAATGCCATGCGAGAATTTTATGCAAAGGAAGGGATGGTTCTTGAAACGTCGTGCCCTTACACTCCACAACAAAATGGAGTTGTGGAGCGTAAACATCGTCATCTTCTCGAGACGGCGCGAGCTCTCAGGTTTGAGGCAAATTTACCAAAGCATTTTTGGGGAGAGTGTATTTTAACTGCTACTTTTGTCCTCAATAGAATGCCATCAAAGGTCTTGAATGGGTTGACACCTTATGAGATTCTTTATGGTCAAAAGCCTAGCTATGATAATATGCGAGTATTTGGATGTTTAGCATATTATCGTAGCACAGAAACTGGCGGAGATAAGTTCGAGCCTCGTGGGAGACCGGGAATATTTGTGGGGTATTTACAGGGTGTTAAGGGCTATAAGATTTATGATTTGGAAAGCCATAAAATCATTATATCTAGAGACGTTCGTTTTTTGGAGGATACATTTCCCATGAGCAATTTAGATTATGATGTGGAGTCTGAAGAATGTACTTTTGAAGCAGGCTGCAGGATGCATGAACCCAGCCCGACATACAACAGCGGTCCCATTGTGGAGGAACCAGCGGATCAACATGTGGGCATTATGCCTTCGCTGGAGTCAATGCACGATCCCGATACAGCGCCCTCAGCCCATAATACTCCATCAGTCCAAGATACCTCTCAAGCCCATGATAACGAAAATGACACAGAGTTAAATATTGAAAGTTCTGTCTGCCCAGATAGAACGGCTCGCCCCGACAGAATCAAAAATCCACCAGCTCGGTTCAAGGATTACAACGTGACACTGCCCCCATCCATTAACCACTCACAAAGTACTCCCACTCAAGTCGCTTCCACAGTACATCCTCTCACTAACTATGTTTCATATGAAAAATTTTCTAACTCTCATAAAGCTTTTCTAGTGGCCATTGTGGCACACAATGAGCCCAAAACTTTCAAACAGGCTTCTCGTGATCCAGAATGGAGAATGGCCATGCACAAAGAAATAAAAGCTCTTGAGTTGAATGATACGTGGGCGGTAACATATTTACCAAAAGGTAAGCGCGCCATAGATTCCAAATGGGTGTACAAAATCAAGTACAAGCCTAACGGAGAAGTTGAAAGGTACAAAGCAAGGCTCGTGGCTAAGGGCTATACACAAATGGAAGGAGTAGATTTTCACGACACTTTCGCACCTGTGGCTAAATTGGTTACAGTCCGTGTCCTT